TTTTGAGTCTTTCATGTGGTTTCAAGGTTTCTTGCATTTTTATTATTTTTGATTTACAAGTTACTTATTCATGCTATATTATTGATAATGTACTTATAGGATTAGATAGGTACTGTCTTATAATAGGAAACTAAAAAGTAAAGAAGTGTACCTACATGAAAGTCTGTACAGTCTGTGTCTCTGTACTGTGTAATGAATAAAATTTGGCAATTAATTTAATATGATATACTTATATATGTCACAAATCCTCATTATATTTTAATGAAACCTAATCAAGTAGTTAAAAAGTTATTTATCATAAAGATGAAAATCGTAAAATAAAATGTACGTGCATCTCGTTCATTTTTACCTATCACATGCAAAATGTGGGATGATCTTCTTCCTGACGTTTTCCATGAACACTATAATATGGGGCTCTTCAAGAGTCGTGTCTTCAGGCCCCTAAGACCGGCAACGCATTCGCAACTCCTCTGATGTTGCAGATGTCCATGAGAGACTATAGCCACTTACCGTCAGGTGGATCGTTTGCTTTTTTGGCCCTTTTTAACAATAAAAAAAAATTGGTTTATATTTTTAAATATTTTTTTTAAGTCTGCTTACAATTGGAGAAGAAAATCGTATAACAATTTTTACGTGTACTTACACAAAAAAATACAGCCAAATTAGGTACCTTCTCGTTTTTGAAGTTGGCAAACTATCGATTCTCTCTACAAAACCATCAATTACTTAAAAGCAAGTAGTGAATGTTTTAATGTAACTAAACTCATAATTAAACAAGTTCTGAAGCAGTACAAACTATTGTTGACAAACAAAGCTGCGAATTACCTGCAGATTGTCGTCACGAGCCCGAGTTAAAATTAGCGTAGCGATTTGATAGGCGAGAGCAAGCGAGCGGAAGTCGCCTCTAAAATAACAAGCTGCCACTTGCTTGCTAACCGACCACTTCCACTGTGCCCCATCGTGCTTCTGGAATTTAATACTTTAGCTCTGCCCTAGGGTTTTGTTTCTCTTCAGTATATCCTCCTTATATGCAGAATATATAATACTTAAATGTTTATTTTTTATCTATAAATTATATCAACATTTAAGTTATGTATTAAAAAATCATAACTTATGGTATTTTTTAATCAAACGCAATGATAAAAACTTTAGGACATTTTATATTTAGAAAGTTAAAATAAAGATATTTTTTTTCGACATTAAAATTAAAAAAAAACTATGTAACAGACAATAATATTGCTTAATATTTAAATTTCTTCAAATATAATAATAGCAACACTAAGTAAGATTTAACAAAAATTGTAATAATTACCTATAGTCACAGTAATGTGAAATATTCAACTTTAAAACTTATTATAATTATAGATATTAAAAATATACAAATCTAAAAATTAAAATTAACTAATGTTGTAAGGTACTTTGGTGCCATTTTAGATTTTTTTTAAATCATTGTTTCATTTTGTAGGTGCTGTATATAACAACTATATAATGATCTTTGACACGTCGAAAACCTTGATTTCTCCCGTGACCATGATTGCTGTAAAACATTCGGGAACCAAAAATCAAAATAAATCCACAGAGAAATCCGACAAGATAGTTTTATTTAAGAAAGCCTTTAATTTAAAACTATGAACATATGATCTTCAGGCAAAGTGAAAAAAAATATTACACAGAAAGGATCGAGATATGTAGAAAATTTAAAGGTTTCATAAAGGTGTCATTTCAACAAATACTTTTACTCTTTGGGATTTTGCATACGTAAATTCAGTGCTTTTGAAGTTCTGTTTTGTTTTTTTATTCGAGCGCTAGCCGCTCTGTGATATGAATTTAATTTTATTTCTTAGTTTAGTCTTCTTGCTTTTCCTACGCTTTCTACCATATTAATAAAGTTAATTATTTTTAAAATGAAACATTTTAATATTCAATGTGGACTTGACCGATGATATCTTTGCCAAGTATATAATTATAAAATTAAAAATATTTTTTTCTAAAAATTTGTTGCCTATTACGTATTAGTTAGAAAAATAACTAAAAAATATTTAAAAATGATATATTTTTTACATCACATATATACATCATATCGGACGTTTTCAGATTTATAAGCATAGTAAATAGTACCTTAGTTTAAAAACGTAATAGAGATTCTGGAAAATATTTAAATGAGAAATGATTAAAATATTATTAAATCTATAATACAGTCTAAAAATTAACAAGTACAGTCAGTTTATTTATTCACTTTGGCTTTTTATTTTCTATTGTTTTTTACCTAAATCAGAAAATCTAGAAAGTTAAGGATGGGTGTTCCAAAGGGATGTTTTCTTGGTCCCGTTTCATTGTTACAGTACATAAATTAAACTAAATCTCTACAGATTGTTAAAGACTAATTGAATTAAGTTTTTAAAATTTTCAGTTTTTATTGCTTATAAAAATTTAGACAGCTGGTACTTTTCACATGTTATCATAATATATTTTATGGAAATTTAAATAGAAAACTACGAGATGAGATATATGAATATACGTTTTATTTACTTCAAAAGCATTGATAATTCATTGTGTACAGTGCGAAACACAGTATTCTGTTTATAAAACATTCTACTGTTTACTTAGAATCATTCCACGTGTAATGCTAGTAAAAAGAATATTTCCACGCTTTTCCTTGACACTCTAAATCTAACAAGTTTATAAATTAGGTAAGAAAACTAATTAAAAGTAGCTACGATTTCTTGTAAAGTTTTCCTTAATATTTCGAGGAAATCGTCTTATAACACGTATTAAAATGACTAACATACACTCAGTAGTATTTAATGTGTTTTTATCATAAAACGTTTTAATATTTTCTTATCTGAATGTGTATAGCTTGCGGGATATTAACATTGTCCGTAGATACTTCTATAGAAATATGTTAAGATACAGGAATAAGCAATCGAGAATGTTAAGGAAGTTCCTATGTTTGATTGGAAAAAATTTAAATAAAAGATTTCAGGATTATGAACAGTTCTTAATAGATTTTAAAAATAAGGAAAACACTGTTTAGGTGATATTTCATTATGTTTATCGTATAATATATTACAATGGATACTCGAATATATGTACATAATTATTTCAAAATACATTCACGGTATTTAGTATTTACTCCCTCTACGACCGCGGACACGCCGGCGTTACAGTTAACAATAGATTTCTTAGAAATTTAATTAATTTCTTAGAAATTTACCTAGAGGTTACTATTTATACAAAACTTTAAAAGTCTTGTTAAAAAATCTATACCAAGTACCTACCAAGTTAGATGGTCACCTTATTAAAAAATATACGTCCAACTTTTTTTGCTGAGTTACTTTAATTAAATATTTTTTAATTTTGTCATATATCCTACCAGTTAAGATTAAAAAGTTTTTATCTGTCGAATAACGTTCTTGATGGTGCCGGTGGGCGTTGAGAATGTGGATATTTCGGGCTATTATCGCGCGCCCACGCTTCACTATTGGCAGAAAAATGTTACAAAAATACATCGTTATAATTCACTTTAGTCTTGTACCGACAACGTCTGACATGAAAGCTGTACATACGTCCACCGTCCGTGGCGTGGAGGTATCAATGAAACTTTCGACGCTTTTAGATGAGACCTCATTAATATCGATATTATTTTTACGTCGACACTCCTCGCCAGTCCCAGGGTTCTCTTATCTCCACCTTATCACAGTTACAAAGAGCGCTGAGACGTAATGGAAGATATGTGTTCCAAATCGCCGAGATCTCTCGCTCGTTTCCGGTGGTTGTTTACAAAAAAAATAATATATAGATAGCTATATATAAACTCGTTGTCCAAAGCGAGCAGACCAACCGGCCGGCCGAGATACTTGGTGCGATTAAAAATTACAACTTCCGTTCAGGTCCGAGTCTCGGAGCGGAGGCCCAGATGAAAAAGATAAATAAAAAAATAACATAAAGATCGATACGGCGGGACGGCGCTACCAGTTTTTTAACCAAGCTTAGAGCTTGAGGCAATTGGGGCGCTTGTGTCGCCGCCGTGGCCAACTTATTTATTATATACTGATACCTACCTATGTTCGCATACATTCCTCTTGACACTGCTGCTCACATGAGGTAAAATCTAAATGAAACAACATAACGATATCATAAGCGAGATAAACATCATTACTTTAAATTTAAAAAAAGTTATTAGTTACATTAGAACCACTATAAAAACCAGATAAATTTAACGCTTAATTAATTATTAATTTCATTAACCGGCAGTTTAATTAACCGTTATATTAGTATCTATATAGTTATTATTCGGAAATAGAATAATTTTTCACTGGTTTCTTTACTTAATAATAATTAATATAGTTTTAGATAATTTATCCAAACTAATAAGTATTATCTTGTATCTACAGTTACAATTAAACTAAACAAGAGCTGCGACTTGTTTCCGGTCATTAGGTTGTGCTGATTAATGCATTAATGTGTACCTTGTAAAAGATTACCATTATTCATTACTTACTGGTACTCGCTATAAGCACCGACTTCGCTTTAAATCTCCAAGGTAAGAACCTCTTGTAGTTTCTGATGTCCGTACCTAAATAACAATTTATGGGCCCTCTAGCTTTTAAATTTACGTACAAGCTATTTTACACAGATTATTATCTGGTTATTTTATACGGATTATTACGTGCCGTCGAATGGAATATCATAAACGTCATTACATATTATATATAATGCGCCCGTGTAAAAGACACCCGGGAGACACAAATTGATGACGCTATAAATACTGCCTTAAATGGAACTTAAAACGCAAAGTTAAAATATATTGTACAGTAATATTAAAGCGATACCGTAAAATCGAAAGCTTACGAAATTATTGTATTTCTACTCGTATAATATCTATAAAATAAACGGGTTACGTGTTAAATTGCGAGCGGTAACATCGATATTATATTGATAGTTGATCGAGAGTGGAGAAGATCGGCAATAATATCACGAATGGTGCACCGTGGTAATTAAGTGTCGGGGCGCGGTGGTGTGCGTGGGCCCGATGGCCGAGCGCAGAGAGCAGGCATATCAAGTCCGGTAACTATGCGGCGTAACTCCGGTAGCACTGTAGCATGCAGCAGGTCGCGGGGGGCCGGGCGGGGGGTCCGCGGGGGGCCGAGGGGTAGCGGGGGACGGGTGCGCGCCAGTGTGCGCCATCCGGTTTTGTTTGCGCGTGAGCAGTGTACAGTGTAAACGACGCGCATGTAGTGGTGTCTATCGAGTGGATCGATCAATGAGCTCGACATCGACTCGGACTGTTGCCTGTATGCAACTCATTGATTAACGCTATGAACGTGGAATTGTTTATTCATTCATAATGAATATTTTTATTTCAAATAAAGTTAATGAATGTTTTTGCAGTCTGCAATCCAGAGTTTGACCTTTTCAAGCAGACATGCGGTGTTACTCTAGTACGTACACACGACGAATGTTTTATTTCCATTACTGTAGCGCTAAGTCTTCCTCGGTAAGATGCTGAGTCGTGATGGGATATGGGTTCTTACTTGTTGCTAACGAAATATTATAATATTATGTTGAGATAACAATTGCTTCGTGGGAATCCGATTGTTCACCTTGAATACTGTGTAATAAATGGAATCATATGTTTTATGGAATCCAAAAATATTTTTTTTTTATATTTAAGACAAAATGAAGAAATTCAAAATAAAAATATGCACATGGCGTTTGCAAAATGTTCTTTGTAAGTAACAATTTTATTTTTTCTTACAGATTTTACCTGTCCCCACATAAAATGTAGGTAAGTAACCAAAAAAAAAAAAATTAAGCAAAGCTTTTGTTAATTAAAAAACTTCGTTTTAAATTCATAAAATATTACTTACCCTATTTTATTGATGTAGAATAAAATGGAAAAAAATGTATTGATAGAACCTATGCATAACACACGGGTTATTGAATTTGATCTTTACCTATAATACAATATGGTCGATTTCAATATGACAAATAGTGTTTCCTTTTGGATCTTCAACTTAGTCGGTAGTCGCATGGACGTTACGTATTTAATCAACGATTGCCTCATAACACACGTTAGGAATAATTAATTGTCATCAATACATTGATTGCCATGAATATCGCTTAGCTTCTTCAAATAAAATAACATATTAGATAAGTATTTTCTTTAAAATTTCAGTTTCTGATCTTAGAACAAAAAAAATCTACAAAAATCTAAGTAAGTATTCCTTAGATATTTATCAGAAATATTATTAGCACTTTATTGTTTTTTTAATCTTACTTCTTACTAATATTATAAATGTGAAAATTTGGATGTTTGGATGGATGTTTGTTACTCAATCATGCCAGAACGGCTGAACGGATCTGAATGAAATTTGACACAGAGATAGATTATAATCTGGAATAGCACATAGGCTAGTTTTTATACCGGAAATTGTGCAGTTCCCATGGGATAGATTTGTTTTTGTTTTTCTAGAGGCAAATCCTGAGCGAAACGAAGGTGAAGTAAAAATCAAAGTAATAATAAATTAATATTTAATACTGATTATTAGTTTGATTTTGAACAGAATTTTAATTTGTTGTTTAAAAGCAAATTTCAGGTCCCAGAGGAAAAAAAATCATATCTTAATCCTGTCAATAATATATATAAAGCTTACATTAGCTTCTAGTGAAACAATGATTTGTTATTATTTTAATCTGCGGTACATTATTACTACATACTTAAGAATAATATGTTTTGTTAAATAAAATTTAAGCGATACTTTAACCTCTGTTTCTGTGAAATTATAGACTTAAAAAAATTAAAATAGATATAATAGATAACAATTACACAAAACCATATTATATTAACTGGTAAAGTCATTCTGAATTTGTAAAGGTAAGTAATGTTATTAGAATTACAGAAGATATTTATAAAACATTCCAAAAGCTGAATTATTTACTAGATACATATTTTTAGAGCTTGAAAAGAAAAAGAGTGGAATAATAAAAGTATTAAATATATAAAAACTTTCACCTATGAAAAATACATTTATAAGAATAGGGAATGCTGGAGAGAACATAATTAATATTTGTTTGTGCTATCGGAACATGGACATATATTCTTATCATTCCATTGACCTAAACAACCTAGGCAATACAACGTGAGGCTTTAGTTTGTGAGGCAACACAGGTGTGGGTTCGGAATTTGCGTGGCCGCGTGTGTCGCAGGCGTGGGCGGCTGTTCGCCCACAGCGCCACACCTAGCCGAGTCGCCGCCAACCGCCTCACTCTGCGACCTACGTACGGTGTACATTGTACACGCACTGTAGTGCCACATCGCAGTCATTAACTATAATTTTACAACAGACTTTTCTTGCCTAAATATGACTATGTTATGGACGTGTACCTGGACTACCATTATTAATACTAAATTTTATGTGTATGTATTGTGTATTTTTGTTACCTCTTTACGCTGAAATGCTGAACGGATTCGGATGAAACTTGGTACACTGAAAGATTGTGGTCTAGAGAATGGAGTAACACATAAGCTGTTGTTGGGCATCGTTAAGTTACTAGTATGTCTATGAAACACAAACACCAACTTATTCTTAAGATAGCAGTGTATCAGCCTAGTGAAGACGGCGGCGTTTAATTAATTATAGTATAGTTTTTTCTCATTTAAAATTAAGTAAACTTAAACCGTTTACATATTATGTATGTACATACATACATACATACATATTTCTTAAATTAAAGTTTATAAATCCACAAGTTTGATAGAGTTTTCAATCGAAGTGTAGGTAACAAGTCTCTTATCGATTATTTACTCAATAGCGTAATTACTTAATTTTTGTTTTAAAGTTAATTGATTTATTTTTAATTGAAAACATTGATTACAATTATAAATCAACAAATACTGCTCACTTCTTAAAAACAATCCTCGAATTAACATTACCAAATTAAAATTATATTGATGAAGGTAAAATTACAAATAAGTTGAATACATATTATGTATATTATGGGCATATGGAATGATAAATTAAAATTACCTACTAATCTTTAGTCTCTTGGAAGTTACCATCCGGTCCGTCTGTCATATTACAATTATTTTATTTGTGCTTTATAACATGTTTTAGGGGGAAATAACTCACATAAGTTATTTTTCTCTATAAAACAGGTACTTATTTACAAGAGATTATTCTATAACTAAATATAAGTAAAATAATAATTATAAACATATGTTTATCAAAATGATAATTCTTCCTTTATATCATCATCTTTTTCAAACGAAATACCTATCTAGGATTCATATACCTATTTCTTTATATTTAATTAATATTTATAGAAATTTTTTATATATTTTCCATATTTTTTTGTTTTCGTTTTTATTACATTCTATGCATATTTTATCTTATTCTTCACTAATACGTAGATATAGTTAAGGCGAATTTCAGAATGGTGGGAATGTTGAAAACAACAAAACAGTATTATCTCAAACAGGTTTTAATAGTACGTTATATATGGTTTAGAAGATACTGATTATATGGTTGTTATCACGCACGATACCTACCGAAAAAAGTAACGAGTTCAATACACTGTTATTACGATTCAAACAATTTGATCTGTAGAAACAATAATAATATGTAATAGGTGATATTGATGAGGCAGAAAAAATATTTGAGTTCAAATATTAAAGTCGAGTAAATATCGACTATGTGATCTATGGTGTGGTCATAGAGTAGAATGTTACTCTATGCCGGCATGGAAAGTGATGTCATTGGCCCGCTCGGCCGCTGTCACACAGCTACTTTTGCTTTTTGAGTGAACATTTTACATCCTGGACGCACACGTCATTCGCTTGGAATTTTCTAATCACTTCGAAATTAGATCCTGTAGCATTTTTTTGTATCAAGATGTGAAAAAGTGTAGGATTTTAAACAATTTTTAGGGTTTTATACATGGCATGAAATAATAAACTAACCATTCTTGGTTCACTGTCTGATTGTCTATAATATGTCATATTATATTTCTTTCAAAAATGTTCTAGATGGAAGATTAGAAATGTTGTACGTAATATGTATACTTAGTTATATTATGCAAAACTCGTGCTGAAACTATTTCTAATTTGATATAAAATCAATAACAATCAGTAAAAAAATCATTGTTAAGTCAATTTAAATCTGACACTGCATTTATTAACTAATTACTTTGCTCTACAATATTATCTTACTAAAGCAAAATAAAAAGGTGCCTATAATTTTCATGATGGCCATTTTCAAAGTGATATAAAATAATACAATTATTGTGTTTCAACAGGATTTGAAATCTTTTAACCTTAAAACCGAGGAACAATTTCACTTTTTAGAAAGACGGAGTAATAAAAGCTTAGTTCCGTCTCATTGAAATACTCGTACCTATAACTTAAGTAGATTTTGTTAATGCTGTATCTCGCCAAATCTATACATATAATAAAATTTTCATTAAGCCAAATCTGTACATTAAATATTTTTTGGAAAATCTTATTGAAATAGACATTACTATCGATACATAGGCCGAATATATAGTTTTTAGAATTTTTGCCTGTCTGTCAGTTACCGCATCACAGAAAAACTACTGGACGGACTTTGATGAAACTTGGTATGGTCATAGCTGATTATCCGGGTCAACATATAGGATACTTTTTACAGCGGAAAAATATCTCATTTCAGAGAAAAAATACAAAAATTTGGTTTTTGGTCATCTGAACGCGAGCGGAGCCGCGGGCAATGCTAGTATTGAATAAAATTGATAGTTTAGATGCAACCTTTGCTAGTTCATAATTATATTATAGTAGTCTTTTATATATACATTGTGTACTTTGGAAAAAACTGGTTTAAGACTTAATTTACATACTTTAATTTTACATAAAGGTATTCCTATATGTGCGGTTCAGCCATGTAATAATATTAAGGCATTAAAGTAAACAGAGAATCTACATACATATATTCGAGATAAATTAGTAAACCAGAATGGCCAGAGGAAAAACTAAGTAGGCATATTTTATTTTAAACGACTGAATATAAATCGCGAATATGCCCCGCGGCGGCGAGATGCTGGCATGGTTTGGGACGTCAGAGATGTGTGATTGTTGGAGCGGTGTCGGTTGTGTCGGTGATTAAGGTGGCTTCCTGCGCTGCTTGCCGTCGCTCCGAGCGGCCCGTAATAGAGGCAGCGGACGGCCTCACGGAAGGTCGACCGCCTCTCGCCCGCGCCCTCTCCCGCGCCCTCACCCGCGCCTCTTGCACTCCCTCGCTCGCGGCTCGACCGCTACGTGGAATTTTTGTAATTGCCATCAATTAAAACGAGAAATTCATCTAGCGATTCCATTGCTTCGCATGACAGACGCGACTTAGGAATCGCCGAGCTGTTGACTCGACGCCGCATTTTATCATACGTGTCACGTGAGCAAATATTCGCTACACACATCCGCCGCTAAATAACCACATGGGCATGGAAGGTCAGCGTCGATGAGTGCGTGCCATGAATGGAGTGAGTCGAGCGCGAGTCGCGACAGCGTCCATTCAATGAGATCCTTCATTCTAGCTTTTGTTCTTACGTAATGCTCGCTCATATACGAGATATTGTTACATTAAAATATATTACAGTGTCAATGTTACCGCTTATGAACGAAGTGCGCATTGTAACAAACTAGTCGTGTGTAATTCTACAGAACTACGTATAGCGCATTAGCTTACTAAGTTCCTTAATCAATACTTTCTATAAATGTACGGACGGATATTTAAACCTGCTTCATTTTTGAAGATTTAAAGACTGACGTTTTCAAACGTTTTTATATTCAAAATTATAAAAAAATATGTGTATTGGTCTTGTTACATACAATACATGCAACAATAACAGAGCAAAAAAAATGAATGCCCAGTAAAACCGTCATCATGTTTATATTTATTACTAAGAAAGAGCATTCGCAGAATTTCTGGAAGGGATAACGAGTGCCTTAAATTTTTATCATTGGATCAGTATTCGACGTAATATATTTGCTTAGATAGTCTAAATCGTCTATGCATTCCCTTTATCTGACTCTAACATCCGGCATTAATACATATAATATGCCTAACTCCAGTTTCCAGTAGGACAATTATCACACGGTTTGGGCGCGCATTGAGATAGTAATTTTAGACAAACAACTCTCATATGAACCGCTTATCGGCTCTCATACTCGCAAAAGATAATTCATGTTCAAAACAATACTATTTATCACTATTAAGTAACCAGACAACATATTTCGTAATATTGGTACTCGTGTAGATATAAACGGTAATAAATTGTTCCCACCTAATTATATTTAAAAAGAATTACGAATAAAATGGGACCGATAAGGCTATTTGACTTTAGAAGGAAGTTCAAAGATAACAAAATATTTTGAGAAAACAATCGAAAGATAACATAATTTAGCGCCACATAAAAAGTTTATTGATATTTAAGTCATGATTAATATGTTGAATTTTACAATATATGTATTTGGAACTTTCTATTTCTTTTATATTAAATGTAGAATCGCCTTCTGCTATACCTACTCAGAAGAAAACAATATGAAATAGGGACAAAAATTATCGTTATTTATATTATAATATTTTTTTGACTTACTTAAGTTTGCAACATTGTACAAAATAAAACATTCAGTTTACTCTATAATCTAAAAGATTACAATGTCACTATAGAAAAGATATAACTTAGATGACTTGTGTAAAAGCTTGCACAATCGTTTAAGACACGAGTTTTAAAATATTTAGTCACTTAAGTATACAAAAGTCGATAGGATCGCATCGATAGTTGAGGCGGATGGAAAGCGCGGCGCAGGCGCAGGCTTCCGCTCGCGGGCGCACCGCCTCCAGAATAACAAACGAAACCTGATTTCTATCGAGGCCCACGTTCATACTCGCTTTACAATCAAAACACTTTTTTTGACTCTTATTTGAGTAGGCAGCGCTCTATATTCAGACGGATATTGTCATGAAATTTATTAAGTCTAACCAGCCCACATATTTATTTGTATATGGCGTAGTGCTTATAGGGACGCCATAAAAGGTATACAATAAAATGTGATTCATTCACATCGCTGTGTCTTCATAAGTATGAAGTAGATATATGTACCTATACCTATCATACAGATGGACTGCACAATCAACTTTTATATTTGACAAGCAGTGCCCGCGGCTCCGCCCGCGTTCAGATGACCAACAACCAAATTTTTAAGTTTTAAATATTAGTATACTCTTACATTGCAGTTTTTGTATTTTTCTCAGAAATTAGATATTTTCCCGCGGTAAAAAGTATCCTATGTGATGACCCGGATAACCAGAAATCACCATACCAAATTTCATCAAAATCCCTTCAGTGGTTTTTCTGTTATGCGGTAACAGACAGACAAAAATTCTAAAAACTATAGATTCGGCCTATGTATCGATAATAATATTTATTTCAATAAGATTTTCCAAAAAATATTTAATGTACAGATTCAGCTTAGTTACAATTATACTATACGTATAGAAAATGTTAGTATTGTTTGATATAATCAGACTAAGCAGTACTTTATGCTGTAACGGCTGGACCGATTTGGATAAAATTTTGTGCACACATAGACCATGACGTGGATGATATAGAATTCAGGATACTGTTAAGCCTCCAAAGACGCACCCCAGCGATGTGAGGGTAAGTCGTCAGTATGTTAAAACCCAATAATTATAATTGCCTTGCCATAAGCAAGATCGACATTTACAAGAATACGCGTAATCGGACTCTTATACTAAGAAGATGTATTTCCCCCGAACTCATTGTGTTCTTTCCTGGACGCAACCTTCACCATTCCATGAAGTCTTATGTAGCTTCAATTGGCAATTCGTATCGTTTTCACTGACTATACCTATTTGGGACATCCATTGTTCCTACCGGCGTCATATTGCGATTCGCCTTTGTATTCGCTTAGCTACTCATTGTTTAAATATTGTCTGTAAAAAATAATAAAGTAAGTTATTATTATATTATAACGGAAACGTTTTAAATTTACAAAAACCTCTCGGCAAGCTAAAATATACTAAGCTATTATTTTTCAATGGTAGGAAGGAAATAGGACCGTTAAGTCAACAAAAAATATGCGGATCCGGATGCATGTTTTTGCTATAAAAAGTTTTAAATTTGCTGAAAACACATGTTATGTTGGGTTCCGTCTGAAAAAAACTTATTCAAATTCTGTTCAAACGTGCTAAATAATATTCCGAATAGGAAAGTAGGAAAAAACATTTATTTTAATTACATTAGGTATTCTATATGTATAGTATTATATATTTTTATAAGTAATATATGTATGTATGTATGTATATGTGATTATTATTACCTTTATTTCTAGTATATATTTAGTATATTTTTTGCGCTATATTGCCCGCTGACATCTTCTTCCACATCCAGGGGTTGACTGGAAGAGATCTCTTTTAGAGATAAGTCCACCTTTGTGAACTATGTCTATTTGTGTTATTTTTTTCTGTATTATATTTTAAGTGCATAGATAATAAAGAATATAAGAAAAAAATAAATTTTAATACTACTTTAAAGGTACTTAATATTTAGTCTTTTCTTAAATATTTGTTTTTATACTATCAGTATTTGCTGTGATTTTACGTTTCCAAAATGGCTGATAAAAGATGCAAATTTATGTGTTATGCAAAGACGTTTAATAATATGATGTCATTTCATTGAAGTCTTATAGAGGTGAAATGGAAATTTAAGTGATTGTTATACGGTTGATGCTTGCTTCTGGACAATAGAAAAAGTTACCTCAGGTAGATATTTTTTGTGAATTGTGCTGTCCATTCACACTCGTTATATTGCTCCTATCCACCTAGTTTGTGAATTAATATTATATTTTGTGGTCGCTATAATGAATCTGTTTCTTATCTCTATGGACTACAATAGAGATCATAGTGTGATAGAAATACGGTTAACGAATCCATTCATACTTTTTAAAATATTGCATTTAAAATGTACGTGCCAAAAGTAATAGAGTCGTTTTTTGGTAATAGATAATAATACTTTATTTTTTGATATCTGTGTAATTTTTTAATTATAGAATAATAATCTTTTTTTTGTTATTAAGTAGTTACCTAAAGCAACATTTATTTCAGTATTAAGCCTATAATTGTGACAACGTCTCGTATGGCAAAGCGTTATCGCTCGTCCTTGACACAGAGACGCTGCGTGCACAACGCGCCTTATTGTTGTTGCAACCTTGCGGAAATTATGCTCGCATGTACCTATTAGCACAGCGATAGTATGTTAAGCCCGGTTCGCCTTCCACGCGGGGTCCGTTGAGTTTTGTACCTCACCACTAATATTCTCCATTCGGTTAAGTAAACTCATTCTGTAAATCTGCAAAATGGAGCCTGCTGGCGAAGTTTACCAGACTTTCTTCTCGCTTACTGAAAATGTTAGATTTGTAACTTCACAGGACGAAAGTGGGCGGTGTGGTTTGACTCTCGCCGACCGGAAACCTAATTCCCGGATGCGGCCGCGGGGATCTCACCGGAAGCTCGATAAACGAGCACATCCGCCACCGTCGCCCGCGCCGCAAAATTTGGCACCGCGAGCGCTCGCAGCCCGCTTCCGGCCCCCGCCCCCCGCCGCACGCTCGCCTGCGAAAATAGCGGCCGACCGCTTCGTGTACGCGGTTCATTCAGTATGGCCGCCTTCCATTCATAAAAAGGCGAGGCGCGAGCGGCGGGACGCGGGCGGGGGCGCGCCGCTCCGCCGGCCCGCGCCCGCCCGACGCCAGTGCGGAATGTGCCAGCGAACGGAACGGTCGTTTCGTTGGAGCGTAGCGCCGACGCTCCCGGTTTTCCATTAAAATGTGTATAAGAATAAGTGCAGTGAATCCGCACGAGTTCGGAACGGTCACGAGAATCGCCGTCATCGAGATCAGGAGTAGAAATCAACGAAGAACTTCACCGAGGAAGTGAGTAGCGGCCATATTGCAGTGATAACCGCGCGGCGGGCGGACGAGAATCGAGGCCGGTGCGTGGGCCGCCCCCCGCCCGCGCCAGGTGCCGCTCCGGACCGCGCCGGTCTTATGAGCCTTCCCGTGGATTTGCGCGGCCAAAATTTGGTGGTTCCGCCGTATTTTTGTGTGTCGGTGAGCCTCCGGCGCGGCCCCGCGGGCGCCGGGGCTCAGTGCAGTGTGTGGGGCCGCTCGGCCCGAGTGCCCTTGTGTAGCGATGTGTGTAGGAGACGTGTGACCGTGGAACGTCTGCTTCGTAAGTACTTGCCCAACGTCATCTCGCAGCCAGGATGTGACGAGTCGCGGCGGACTCGTCTGGCTAGATGTAATGGGTCGCGTGCCGAATGTAGGCAGAAGTCGCTTAGATCGCGAAAAAATTGAGCAAACATGAATGATGAGAGGCGTCGTAAGTTCTTCGCCTGGCATCGTAGCACGGTCACACGCGCGCTCACCGCGCCGCTGCCGGCTCCGCACTTTCGCGCTGCAGCCACAGTCTTTACAATTAACAAACCAAAAAATGACTTTTTTATAATATCGCTCTAAAAACTTTAGAATGAACTAACTGATTAGTTCATTCTAAAGTTTTTAGTCGGCATTCGGTAGTAAACTCGTTCTGTAAATCTGCAAAATGGAGCCTGCTGGCGAAGTTTACCAGACTTTCTTCTCGCTTACTGAAAATGTTAGATTTGTAACTTCACAGGACGAAAGTGGGCGGTGTGGTTTGACTCTCGCCGACCGGAAACCTAATTCCCGGATGCGGCCGCGGGGATCTCACCGGAAGCTCGATAAACGAGCACATCCGCCACCGTCGCCCGCGCCGCAAAATTTGGCACCGCGAGCGCTCGCAGCCCGCTTCCGGCCCCCGCCCCCCGCCGCACGCTCGCCTGCGAAAATAGCGGCCGACCGCTTCGTGTACGCGGTTCATTCAGTATGGCCGCCTTCCATTCATAAAAAGGCGAGGCGCGAGCGGCGGGACGCGGGCGGGGGCGCGCCGCTCCGCCGGCCCGCGCCCGCCCGACGCCAGTGCGGAATGTGCCAGCGAACGGAACGGTCGTTTCGTTGGAGCGTAGCGCCGACGCTCCCGGTTTTCCATTAAAATGTGTATAAGAATAAGTGCAGTGAATCCGCACGAGTTCGGAACGGTCACGAGAATCGCCGTCATCGAGATCAGGAGTAGAAATCAACGAAGAACTTCACCGAGGAAGTGAGTAGCGGCCATATTGCAGTGATAACCGCGCGGCGGGCGGACGAGAATCGAGGCCGGTGCGTGGGCCGCCCCCCGCCCGCGCCAGGTGCCGCTCCGGACCGCGCCGGTCTTATGAGCCTTCCCGTGGATTTGCGCGGCCAAAATTTGGTGGTTCCGCCGTATTTTTGTGTGTCGGTGAGCCTCCGGCGCGGCCCCGCGGGCGCCGGGGCTCAGTGCAGTGTGTGGGGCCGCTCGGCCCGAGTGCCCTTGTGTAGCGATGTGTGTAGGAGACGTGTGACCGTGGAACGTCTGCTTCGTAAGTACTTGCCCAACGTCATCTCGCAGCCAGGATGTGACGAGTCGCGGCGGACTCGTCTGGCTAGATGTAATGGGTCGCGTGCCGAATGTAGGCAGAAGTCGCTTAGATCGCGAAAAAATTGAGCAAACATGAATGATGAGAGGCGTCGTAAGTTCTTCGCCTGGCATCGTAGCACGGTCACACGCGCGCTCACCGCGCCGCTGCCGGCTCCGCACTTTCGCGCTGCAGCCACAGTCTTTACAATTAACAAACCAAAAAATGACTTTTTTATAATATCGCTCTAAAAACTTTAGAATGAACTAACTGACGACTACTTATTGGAAACGAGCAATAACTAGCGTGGATCCTGTTTTGTAACTAAAATAAAATTATCTCTTCTACCGATCTGGAATCTCTGGACACGGTTAATGAGAGTATATATTGAAATTTTATGACATTTGGATACATTGGATCGTACTCACAATTATTATAGCAACAGTAAAAAACGAATTTCGACAACGTTTGATAACTAAAGGCAGATAAGAAATAATTGAAACGTATTGTAAACAATACACGTCTTTTAACAAACATTATAACGTTCATCGCATTTAGACAAAACAAAATTATACCGGCAGCATTCATAGAAATAGATTCTATTCGTGACGAATAAATACGTCTCATGACGCCCAAGTATATTAATATATTAATATTTTACAAATTTACATTAAAATTCTGACTATATTTCGAACAATTTAAAACTTTGAAGTCATGTTAAAATTATATATTATTGTACATTTTTTTTGCAAATTAATATTCATACAATGTAGCACTAATGGCCACATTTATGTTTTTCATCCCAATACTAATTTTTTTCACTGATAACGTATATATTAAAGATAAAATACATTATTTAGCGCAATATAAATAAGTTGATTCTTTAAAAGCTTAATGATAGCTATTTTAATGATATTTTTGGTGGGCTATTAAAATGTTGTTTAAGCACAACGTAATAAATGTTGAATTGTAAATGAAACTTCCAAAGCGTTACTGTTCTTCTTAATTTATTATGATTATTTAAAAACAAGTTAAATGAATAGGTAACAACTGATTAAATCGAATTCTTAGCAAAAGCTCTTCATGTTCGTTGGGCATATATGTAAAACTTAGAGACTTAAGACGGAAGTAACAACTATAAACTTCGTATATAATAAAATTTATAAAGACTGGTTAAAATCAGTATGCTAAAAAGGATCGAGTAAAGCATCTTATTTAACATATCTGAGAAGATCGTGTGTAATTATTGATTGTTTTCGAACGAAAATTCAAAATTGTAATCCACGAGTGTGTGAAGGCGACATTATTTTATCTCAGAGAGGCAGACACTTATGGAAGCCAGATGCCTGTCATAGTTTACAAATATGCAAATACCCCTGAGATGAATAATTCCATCGCTGTTATTTTAATCAACAATCTGATTATAATCTATTTTATACGTGTACATTAGTAGTCAAAAGATGTTGCCAGAATTATTCATGTTACTTTCCCATTAATAAGGTTTAACGGTAATATTAAAGAAACGATTAATTGTTGATGACGAAAGCAATTATTAAAATATACTAAATATAGTGCTCTTGTCAGCTTTTAGACAAGTTTATTGATATACTATATTTACTATACATATAAACGTGAATTCATTGTAGAGTAATAACTAAATTCGATTAATTAAGCTTGTGCTTAAATAACAATTAATATTGTTCATAGAATTGTTCTAAATTATGTAATAAAAGGCTAAGCTAATAATAATTAAATTATTTACTACATTTAACATAATATTTTACATTGTTCTAATTATAAAAAACGTATCATCTATGCACATCTAAAGTTACTTCAATAACACTCAAAATTTCATTAGACTGCTAGAATTTTGTCTAAACTTATAAATAACCTGATATTATATTATTCCATCCTAATTATAAATATACTACAAAATAACCAATAAATTAGCATTAAAGTCAGTTTTGAATTAAAAAGCAGTAAAATTTCAAATAACTATAAAGCAGAGACTCGAGACTGATACAGGATAAGTAATACCGGTAACAAGCTTCTAATAAGTCTTAGCAAGAACGCTTTATAAAAACTAATAGCTATTTAAATGTATCCAGTAGCTCAATTTATAATGGTAAATCTAAAGAAACAGAATCTATCAATGAACATAACAGTATTCTTGGCGATTATAATCATGGCGTATGCGTATTATACGTTTGAAGTATTAGGATTTTTTTTTTGTAACCATTCACTTCTATGTATTTTATTCTGTTTTACTTTGTTTATTAATTGTCTAATTTGATAATGTCTCGAGTGTTAAGAATAAACCAAGTGCGAGTCGGACTCGCGTACGTAGGGTTCCGTACCATTATCTATAAAAACGGCAAAAAAATCATGTCTGTTGTACGGGAGTCTCCTTAAACATTTATTTTATTCTGTTTTTTAGTATTTGTTGTTATAGCAGCAACAGAAATACATCATCTGTGAAAATTTCAACTGTCTAACTATCACGGTTCATGAGATACAGCCTGGTGACAGACGGACGGACAGCGGAGTCTTAGTAACAGGGTCCCGTTTTACCCTTTGAGTACAGAACCCTAATAATAGAAGACAATGCAAAAAATTGGTATCATGTAAATAAAGTTGTTTTAGAAATAAAACATTTATGTAGGTATCTGTCCCATATCACATGGTTAGGTCCTGTGCAGCCCAACCATGTGATAAAGCGTGAAAAGGTAGTAGACAGATATTTATTTATTCACATCTATACATCTAATAAAATTGTAACTGAGCCGAATCTGTACATTAAATATTTTTTGGAAAATCTTATTGAAATATACATTATTATAGATACAGAGGCAGAATCTATAGTTTTTAGAATTTTTGTCTGTCGGTCTGTCTGTCTGTTACCGCATCACAGAAAAACCACTGGAGAGGTTTTGATGAAATTTGGTGTGTTGATAGCTGGTTATCCGGGTCAACATATAGGATACTTTTTACCGCGGGAAAATATCTAATTTCTGAGAAAAAATACAAAAACTGCAATGTAAGAGTATACTGATATGTAAAACCTAAGAATTCGGTTTTGGTGATCTGAACGCGGGCGGAGCCGCGGGCAATGCTAGTTTACAATATTAGCATAGATTTTAAATGAATTTTATCAAGAATTTATCGTTATTCACGGAGTTTGATATGAGCCTAGAAGTACCTTATTATATTTAATAGTTTGAAAAAAAAAAGATTCTAAATTACAAATAAATCACTATCATCAGTCAAATGCGCTTCTATACGAAGCAGTGGGTCCTGTTTTAATAATTGTGGATTGAAATAAAATACACGAAGTTAGTATAATATTGTGTCTGTGGTAATACAAAATATATTTGGAAAACTCGGAAAATTTACTATTTAGTCGAAACTCGATACGTTCATCTTCGCAACATTTCTACAAAAGTGAAGTACCTACTAATAATAATGATTATTATATAATACCTATTAAAGTTTAGATTTTAATTGCTAACAAATTAAAAATAAATAAGACAAGTTTTTTCATTATTTATAATATCTATATCTTTCGAAGATTTCTTTCTTTTCTCAATACACCTTGTATTGCTCTAATATATACTCGTAGAAAATATTAACCGGAATTATCTAACACGAGCCCACTTAATCTATATTGCAATAATAATTAATCAAAATATCACGACCTTTTAGTATTTCATTCTAAGCATATAAATAACAACGATAAAAAACTCAATAAATATAGTTTTCGTCACACCTTTAAACCGTTATAGGTATTGTTGCTGCCTAATTTTTTTTTATTCTAGTTAATACTCTTATCTACTATTATGCCACGTTTATGCGAGTGTAGAGAGCTGATTTAACATTTGTCGGAGTATACATACATATACACACATCGCTACATATGTTTAAAAGTTCACGGTAAATTTACAGATAGTAAAGGGTTACAGATATTTGTAATGATTATATTCGCATATAAATAAGTGCATTTAATGCAAAACATAAGTAAGATGGAATAAAAATGTGTGGATCATTTGAAGAGTTTTAAAAGGAATGCAAGTTATTAGCCAATGACGTTCAGTTCTTACACAAAGCTCGTTATCTCTTTAAGCTATTCTACTCATGATATGATATTAACGCGTACGATGATTTTTCCGCAGGTGGGGACGATGAGGGAACAGGAAGGCGACGGCCCAGAGAGCCGTTAGCCGGACTCGATGGACGAGTATGGCGGGCCGGCGGCGCCGCCCCGGCCGCCCAAGCCGGCGGCGCGAGTGCACCGCACGGGCAGTGCGGGCGCGGGCAGCGCGGGGGGCGGCCGCGCGCCCGCCGTGTCGCTGCTGCGGCCGCGGCCCGACGCTGAGCGCGAGCGCAACGCGTACGTGGAGGCGCCGCGCCGCGCGCCGCCCGCGCCGCCCGCGCACCGCCACGCGCACGCCGCCGCGCAGCCGCTCAAGCCGGTGACGGCGCAGCCCGGCGCGCGCGCGGGCGGCGGGGACAAGACGCGCGCGGGCGGGGGCGCGGGCGAATCCATCGTGTGCGCCGCGTGCGGGCGCTGCCGCTGCGAGCAGTGCGCGCGGCCGCGGCCGCTGCCGCAGCGCTGGCTGTGCGGGTCGTGCCTGTGCAGCGCGGAGGCGTGCGTGGACTACGCGTCGTGTATGTGCTGCGCCAAGGCGCTGTTCTACCACTGCGGCGGCGAGGAGGACGCGGGCGCGGAGCCGTGTGCGTGCGGGCCGCGGCTGGCGTGCGTGGCGGCGCTGGCGCTGCCGCTGCCGTGCCTGTGGCTATACTGGCCGCTGCGCGCGCTGGCGGCGGCGGGCGCGGCCGCGTACGCGCGCTGCCGCCGCGCCGGCTGCCGCTGCGCCGGGCCGCCGCCGCTCTCCAGTATTATCTAGTCCGCCGCGCGCCCGCGTGTACAAATATTTATTGCCGAGCGGGACGTGGACGCAGTGCGCGTGTGGGCGCGCGCGGGCCGCGGACGAGAGCCCGCGCGCGCCGAGTGATCGTTTCCTGTAAATATAGTCGTATAGTGTGAATGTACGTGAACGTGTCGCCCGAACGCCGAAAGTCTCAAATTTTCTTGAGACCGTAACGTGTCATAAGAAAACGCTAAAATTAGTAATTTGGATTCCACACAGATCCAGAGAAGATTAAGAATGAGATATAAAACATACTTATTAAGATGTAGATAATTTACCATTTATTTATTAACTGAATTTGTATTTATTTGTAAATAAAACGACAACATTATATTATAAATACGAATGTTTACTACAATTTTTGTTTTCTTTTTTGTTTAACTTACCTATCGTAACATTACACGAACTTCTGATTTAACCACCAATGGAAATTATTGTTATTTAAGACTATCTTTGTAAAAATTAGCTTATATACGAATACTATATTACAACAATAAATAATTATAAAATATGAGCTTTTATAAGAAGTGTAAAGATAGTCACGAATTGTATAAAATATTGTATTGTAAAGTGTAAGGCTTATTAACTAGTGACGTCCAGAACCTAAAAGATGTTTCCTATATAAAATTCAATAATAAAATATATAATTGAATTTCGAACGTAATTCTTTTTATATCTGTTCATATTAGTATAATAGATACCGTTATGGGGAAAGAATGGAGTTCCATGTTCCATAGCATGGGTACAGAACAGTTAGCATAGGCACCTCGCACGTAATGAAATATTAAACTAAAGTATAAATAGTGATTCGTTAACGAGCTGGCAGGAAGTGAGGCGCGCCGCTTCCTCCTGTCTCGCTGTTCCTTCCTCCGAGCCATGTTTATTTCATTCCTAGAATGCATTCTGAAAATATACGATCATATTTATATTGTACTACACTATTTCCTGCCTTCAAAATTGTAGTTTTATATTGTAAATAAAACCGTCTTATATACATATATAAAGAATGATTATAAATTAAAAATATAGTTAGGTTATCTTTTGTATATATTTAAAAGCTTTGTATATATTAATAGTACAATTTATTGATTTCATAAAATGATGTCTTAAAGGGTTAGAAGTCTACAAAGTATAGGTTATACTTTATTATATATTAATTCGAATCTAGTGTAATCTTCTTAATATCGCTTTACGCCGTGTTCTCTTGATCCATGCGAATAAGATGCGAAGAATATGTAAAACTAGCGTAATCTACATACATATGATTGCAATTTTTTAAAAGTATGCCAATTTACTGCTTACAGTAATAATTACTTATAAAATCTGTTACATTATTTTAAAAATAAATGTATATGTACGTATATGTAGTGGTGACTATTTACAACACTTACTTGAAAACGTACTTAGCTAGATCGTTTAAATTGGGACAACAGATGTCGACAAGCCGCCGACAGCATTTGATGGGCGGATGAGCGCTGGCATGGGATAAAAGGAAACTTGCTATATTAGGACACTAAGACGAGTAGTAAACAAAAATCGGTCAAGTGCGAGTCGGTTTCCGGATTAACTACAGTTTATTTTTAACATATTTAACAATCAAATAGAATGTAAATACTGAATGGTCGTTGAAACCTCTAGCACGAATACTTAAACTTGAGCGGTTTTGATTTGCTTGTATGTATTACCGTTTTTAAAAAGGAGCCAAAAAACTAAACATGCTTTTTGTATAGGGAACCCTTTTATTGTTTTTAATTGCATTTTTTATTCATTTATTTTTTCATTATTTATTTGTTTGTTCTGTCATAATAAAATAGGTAGGAGTAAAAACCTCAATCTCAAACTGTAAACCTAATCTCGACACTAGTATAGTGCTAGTGTGCAGAATCCTAAAAACGTGCCATATGTTAGAAATGGAACACCGATATGTGTAACTGTTCTCTCAATTCTTCATTTTGTAATCTTACATTATCGCGTATTGCATTTCACTTGTGAGCTTAGAACAAGTTTGATGCTAAATAAAATAAAACTTTAAGCTAAGTACCTACATACATAGTCGACATGCGGCGGGAAGTGCGTGAGATGCGTCACGCTTGCCCCTACAATGTATGGTGCTCGGTACCTCGAATTTGCTCTCGATATATTTAGGATCTGCTGTAGAACGCCACACTAGTATAGGACGTCTATTTATTTACAGCGTGCGTAAGCGCACCACTCCGAGAATTTTAATGTTTGTTATTTGCAAGTCTACAGGATCCTCCTCGCAACTCCAAACAGGCACACCACGACAGTTGTGTTTAGTCAAACGCAAATGTGTCTAGCTGATGTATTACAATAGATAAACCTGTTTGCCCCGACTGAATTCATGTTTTATATATTAAGAAAAAAATATCTCTCGTATAAAATATGTCGGGCCCGCAGATCTTTTGACCTATGCATCATGGAAGATGGATTATTCGTGTCATTGTAAGGCCGATGCGAGATTTGTGAGAACTCGAGGCAATGGAGGTGCTTCGTGGCGCTTGTATTCGTAAACGTGTTATTTCACTGTCAAATCTTGCTATTTATCGTTCGCATTCCTTGACCTGTGCCCCGAGATGCATGATGCAGTGGCACTCTGATTGTTCGATGCTCGGTGAATAATGACCCATTCTGTCTTATTACGAGAACACGGAGAGATAATATCTGACTTTTTTTATTACACAGAATAGTTATATAATCGGATTAAAACACTTAAACGTATAACATGTTTTGTAATTTGCTGTAAATGTAAGATGGAGGATATCATTGTTGATTGAATCGTGATTCATATATATATGAATAGAATTTGTAGAGTAAACAGTAAACATCGTGTTTTATAACAATAGGTATTGAAAGTTTATAGATTTTAAAATTATCTTCGAAAAGTCTGCCAATTTAAATTGCAATAAAAACTTAATTTGATATCTACTTAAAGTTCAAGACATGCAGTATTTTGATAAATAAGCGTTTTATTAATATAGTGGGCATTATCATCTGACGCCTCAGTCACGTAGTCAGCGGGTCTGCGAAATACTCTAGCTAAGCTCTACGTGTAGAGTTTAAATAATTGTTTTTTCCATTATACTAAACAAGTTTTGACTACTGTTTGAATACAGAATAATCAAAAGAGTACTAAGTACTAGAAAATAAAACGTATTTCAATTTTAAACTACTTAAGTATTGTGTTAAAAGTGACTGCTAACTAAATATGACCGTTTTTGTTTCAAAAGTGTAGTTTGTGTAGATATATTGTATATAAAATTTAGTTTATATAGTTGCTTGAGTATCATACTCATAAAGTAACATTTAGTGTTAATATGTAATAATGTCACGTGACGTTTATATATTATAATACCTAAAGAAGATTATATTTTTCCTTGTGCCTTTGATTCGTGAGATATGTGATGAGATAGAGGAGTTATGGAGTGGAGTGGATACCGAGTGCTGTTTGGCAGTAGCTGGTACGCATCATGTGGTCTGTAGGCGCAGGCGATAAGACGGGTCATCGCACAGGAAGCGGCTCTTCAAACGAGCTCCCGATGTGGTGATAACGAGTTGAGCAACCTCCCCGCGCCCGTACTCATTTCGTTGCTAACCTATCTCAAGACCGAAATTAAACAATTAGAACGCTTGCCACGCCGAAACATGCGTAATCTATTACTCTGCTAGTTGATCTTAATTGGCACAATAGACTCGGAATAACGCAAATTCGAAACACCTGCTCGAGTCAACGAGTTCAAATTATAAATTTGCTGTCATTTGCTTTAATGTTTAAATACAAGACTATAGATATAAACTATGGGTATTTTAACAAGATCAATGGATAGGGTGTTACTCAATAACCTTGACCATCCTTAGAAAGTGCCATCTCTAGGAAATATCTTAAGATTAAACTTGAGGTGTCAGTTATACGACTGCTGATTAAGTAAATTGATGAGGCATATATTGACACATTATTGAAGATAAGGCACAATTGCCGCCGTAAATGATTCAGTCGTGTGATTGTCTTGTGTAGCGATGGATTGGTCTCTGGTAGAGACGGTTGAACAACACAAGATGCAAGAGGCACATGTAGCGGTGTGCAACCGCGGTAGAGCTCGGAGAGTTTATTCATTCCTCGCTTAAGATTCCTGACGTCAAGCGAGCACATAAACAGTGTCCGCTCAACGAAACCATAAATCGATTCATTCATACGGCGTTTCGCTTCATCAATCAATCGTCTATAAATAAAAGATGAAAACGCGGCACGGGTGAGGCGGCTTCCACTTGGAATTCTGACGTCAGTTACAATGGATAGAGATTTTTTTTATTCAACTTTAAATATCTATTATAAAGAAAAATTACATTATGTAGAATTCATAAATAAGAAACAAGTTTCTTGCTTACGGACGGCAAGTGCAACTTGAATATAGCCAGGAGTCTTTTTTGTTCTCGTTTCGTAGTACCGATAAATCTAGCCATATCCTGGCAAGCTGAGTACAAATGCGTACCCAAGTTTAAATCAAAATTGAATGAGAATTCCGTATATTAGGTAATTTGTAGTACAAATTTGAATAATATGAACGAAAGCATGGAAAATAACAATAAAAATGTATATTTTTTACTATATAGTACCTATACACTGGCATCATTAAAAGCTTATATCACACAAATCAATCAACGGTTGCGTATTACATAATAATTTATAACAAATTAAGCATAATAAAAAAATAATTGGTTTCAATTGTAGGTACTGGTTCACGTTTTGAAGTAGGTACCTACTCGAATATTCTACGATTTCAGTTTTCAGATGAAGTAACATAATCTTTATATATATAATTCTTCTGTGAGTGTGTATGTCACTGAACTTCTCTCAAACGACTGGACCGATTTTGATGAAATTTATTGTGTGTGTTCAAGGGGATCTGAGAATGGTTTAGATTCACAATTTGAATAATAATTTTCATCAAAATGGT